GTCGAGTTGGAGTGTGCCTGGAAACATCTCTTCTTCGCCCATCCATTCTGACGGAAAGATTCTGCGAAAGAAAAAGAACCATGTCAAAGATTCAACATCACAAAAGGTTCAGCTTGCGTTTGAAAAAGCGAGAGTGACCCACATCAACAGTGAGAGCAAATGCACTAGAAAACGAGAGACAAGAATGCAGGAACAACCATCAACTGAAATCAAACATACACACAACAAGATCAACTCTCTTTTATCTCCTCCTTCAACTGCTCGCGCTCCCTTCCCGCCTCCCCGGCATGACTCATTGCCCCTAACCTCATCCCCCCTCTTCCCCGAAAAGTGAAGTAGTGGCCAGAGTAGTGGCCAGGCGGCGCCGTGACTGAATGATAACCGTTAAACCGTTGTAACCGTCGAGCTCCGGAAGTCACTTGGCGGGAAATCTTGTGGGGTCAGATGTGGACTATTGGATAACATGGATGCGAGTGGAGGGCGCCGATGGTGGGGCTGGGAGCCTGGGAGCAAGTCTCAAGTCTCTTGGCTTTCATCTCGAGGATGGCTGGCTGCGACAGGTGAGGTCTTCACTACCGCTGTGTGAGATGAGAATGCTTGCAGGCACATCGAGCATGTAGAAGAACGGGGAGAGATGCCGACAAAGAACTCTATGAGCTCGCGCTCTACTCCGATCTCAGACTGTCAGGCAGAGCTTGTCTGCCTCCTGGGATAAGGTCTATGCACAAGCAAACAGTGAGCGGAACATTCGTGCTCCAGGTAAGAATAAAATGACCGAGTTGGTCGCTGTGTGAAACAGCATTTTCAGATCGACGAAGTCATCAACATCTCAGAGCCGAATGAGCACCGATTGGCAGATACGAGAGGAAGGATGTTGAAACTACTTCTCACGGATGGAACCGAAAATATTTGTGGGTTGGAGTTGAATGAGATCCGAGATTTGAGCGTGAATTCTCCCGCGGGTGTGAAAGTACTTGTCAAGGATTTTGAGATGAGACGCGGTGTGGCTCTATTTGGTCCGCACAATCTCTGTGTTCTTGGGGGCATGTGCTCAGATCTAGAGAAGAAGAGGCAAAAGGCCATGGCCGAGCTGGAGAAATCCAGGAAAAGACTTCAGTTGATTGCAAATGATCCTATGGACGACGAAATCAGCAATCAGGAGGATTTTGATGCCAACCAGCCAAGTCGGCGACGAGAAGTGAATGCGTTGGCTCAATCAGGGAGCCGAATATCTGCCAACGACTTCATGAGGAGCACGAATCAGAACAGGGGCAATGTGATTGGTGAAAGGATTGGTGAACCCGGGTACGAAACCCTCGACCGATCTTCTGCTACCACTCGCTCTGAGCATGCGCCTCTTTCGTTCACTTTCTTAAATGACGAACAGTCAGGCCCTGTTTCTGAAGTGCAGGATCATCCGCCCCAGTCTTCTGAACACGACATCGTCATGTATGAGGAGCTCGATCGAGCGGCGGCGGCGGAGGCAGAAGCGGTGGAGGAGAGGATACAGCAGATCTGATCTCCGAAGATCCGGCTTATGCCATCATGCTGGTCCTGCCTCTGCTTTGATGAGATTGCTCTGAATTCTAGTGTGCAGAAGCCGAGGCCGAAGAACAACAGGAGCGACCTAGAGCACCTGCAGCAGCCAACGTACCAGCACCGAAGGAGGCGGACCGATGTGAAGCTATAGAAGTCAACCGAAGTCAACCATGTGCGCAACTGTTCTACCTCATCGATC